ATGCTGACCTTTCATTACAGTACAATTCAGCAAGGAGTTATTCAACAACATTCAAGGTTGAGATTCTCCCCACTTCCCTGGAATGTATTATAGATGAAATGTGAAACCTCAGTAGATTAAAAGAATACATAAAGCCTTCTATTTATTTTCTCCCTACCCATGCCATGTATCCCCAGGAGATCAGGGAATATTATATTGCAGTGCTCCAAATCTCCTTGTGTAGCATATAAATTACATTATGCTGAGTGGCAACAACAACAAAACCTCTCTAAGGAGTGTTATCATTTCTCTCTTTTCATCAAGTTATAATTCAGCACTGAGTAAGCTGAACAGGTAGCTTTAAAGTAAAGTGAGTTAGAAAATGGCTAAAAATAAGGAAGCACTCATATGCTTGTTTTCATGTACTGGAACACCTGCAATAGAGAGCCTTTTATTAAGAACTTTTTTAAGTAGTAGAAACTGATTTTCTAAAAGACCCCTGCTTTCAGAGGCATATTGAGTTTAGTGTATTTGTTTCTGTGCATACCTTTTAAGTAATAAATGTTGGCCTTTTATTCAAAGAATGAACAGTAGCATGCACATTGAATGTATTTCATTTATCATTTCCAAGGAGTACATAGATTGGATAGAGCTTATCTTTTAAATTTAGTTGTGTATCTTGTTCCAGTAACAATTAAGTTTAGCTGATCGCAGGCCTTCTTTGTTTCTCATTTGTATTCCGAATACCATGATACTTAGCCAGTCTCTCAGTTTTCAAGAGCTGCCCATTTTATTTCCTTGCTGGGTCTCACTTCTTTCCCCACTGACCTATTTGAGGCCCTAGTAGTGCTTGTCTAAACTATTCAGTATTTACCTAGCCAACCTTTCTGCTTTTACTTTTCCAGTTCATTCTTTAAACTTTAGTCTGAATTATCTTCCTAAAACACAGATATATTTGTTACTTTTCTTCTTAGAATCTTTCCCAGAATCCTAAGAATTAAGTAAAAATTTCTTGGACCCCAGACCAGCTCATTACCAACTTTAACTCTCCACATGCTGTACACTGCTGACAGGCATGAGGAATCTGCTTACCACTCTCCTCATACAGCTCTTTACATTGGTTTTACCTGTGTCCTTTTGCAGCTATTCCTTTAGCCTGATTGTCAGCAAAATCTCAGTTGAATGCCACATCCTTTTGTAACGCTCCCGTATCCTCCCCATGCGCCAATTTTAGTTAATTGTATTATTTGAAAAGTATCAAATACATCCTAATAGGTTCTTTAATAATCATCTTATCATTCTACTTATGTGCCTCACTCCCATCTAGACTGTAAATGCTATGAAACCAGGAACCACATCTTATTCATCTTTGTATTCCGTGGTTCACAGAATAATATTTCATCAATACTTGTTTAATTGAACAATTTAAGCTATAAATCACCCAATGTATAAAGACTTCATATGTAGTAGGTAACTATTTCTAATCAGTGGACTAGTTTAACCAAAATTATTTTTCTATATAAGCTAAAGTTTTAGTGTTGATTTATTATGCCAGAATATAAACCCAAATGATTCACTTTGGTAACTCATTTCAAGAACTTGTCCAGTCATATTTTTCAGTATTTTCTAAGTTCTTCTGTAGTGAAAGAAGACTACTTTACCTTCTATTAATTTCTCTCTTTTCACATATAATATTTTTACGTGTCAAAAGATTCATATTCTTGTTTTACTCTTTTGTAAAACAGGCTTCACATTACTATTTCTTATAATTGCTTTAGAGATCACAAACAAGTTTTACGAAATCTCATACTTGACAATAGTCTGAAAGCATATGTGAAATAATAGGAAATATATATATTAGTCTCTACAACTTGTTCTTGGCACAGAGCTCCTAAAACCCTTGTAATCTCCTGAGTGGTAAGAGCACTAGGAGCATCTTTTGTTCTAATATTTGGTCTTTGACCCCAGTTCCTGACTCAGAGCTCCTAAACCCCTTGGAATTTCCTGAGTGATAGACATGTCTTTTGTTCTAATGATGCAGCTCTTGGTGGGCTCCTGGGTAGCTTCAGGATGGGGATGGTCACCAGAAAGACTAAGCCATGATTAGAAGTTTGGAACTTTCTGCCCCACCTCCCATCCTCTGGGAAAGGGGGAGAGGGACTGGAGACTCAGTTAATGATTGGTCATGAGAATGTGATGAAACTTCCATAAAAATTTCAGAAGTACAGGATTTGGAGAGCTTTGGGGTTGGTGAACATGCGGAGGTGCTGGGAGATGACTTGCTTGGAAAGGGCTTGGAAGCTCTGTGCCCCTTCCCACATACCTTGCCCTGTGTGTCTCTACATCTGGCTGTTCATCTGTATCCTTTATTGCATCCTTTTTAATAAATCAGTAAATGTAAGTAAGTGTTACCCTGAATTCTGGAGCTGGTCTAGCAAATCATCAAGTCCTGGGTGGGGTCATGGGAACCCCAATTTATAGCTGGTCAACTAGAAGTACAGGTGAGACAACCTGGGACTTGAGATTGTCATCTGAACTGGGGCAGTCTTGTAGGACTGAATCCTTAGCCTGTGGGATTTTTCACTAACTCCAGGTAGACAGTGTCAGAACTGAACTGGATTGTAGGACACCTAGCCGGTATTGCAGAATTGCTTGATGTGTGGAAAATCCACACATCTGGTGTCAGAAGTGTCGAGAGTGTGGTAGTAGTGTGAGGGTAAAGAAGAGACACAGGATTGTGTTTTTCCTAAATAGTATAGAAGCCTCTCTTACGTTACTTACTAAATTCTGGTGGGGGGCGGGAGGGGTTGTGTATGACTATGTGTGTACACAAGTTGTGTGTATGTGTGTAATCTAACTCCCCAAATAGAAAAATCTAAGACAAAGTCAGAAACTATTTCTTACATATTGCCCCATAGAGCCTAGCATACCGTTGGACACATTGGAGTACATAGTAAGTTTAAGACAAACAAATAATTCTGGCAAGTTGAGTTTGCTTTCTCTTGAGGATTATGTAACTCACCTTTATCAATAGGAGCTTGGGGATGCCATCATAGTACTCCATAGAAAACTTACATATAGTTTTAAACTAAATTGGAAATATTAATTTACTGAATCTTTGTTGTTAAACTAGATTGTTTTTGTCTTAATTTTTCTTCCCCTTAGGTGTATTTTTCTTTAAAAGTTTGTAATGTTTTTGCAGTTTGGGGTTTGCAGTTGAATTTAGAAGGAAGAAATTTTCATCCCTTTATTTTTTCACAAAAGAAAAAAGTTACCAAAAAGGTTAAATCCTAAACTTTTCAAACCTTTAAGGACAAGTGTTTGATTTCCATATTATATAAGAAAGGTACAGGCTATATAGTTTGGAGATACCATGTGTTCATTTCCAGACCATTGCAAAAAAGTGAGTCACATGAATTTTTTTGGTTTCCCAGTGCATATAAAAGTTACGTTTATACTATACTGTAGTCTTTTAAGTGTCCAATAGCATTATGTCTAAGAAAATGTACATGCCTTAATTAAAAATTACTTTATTGCTAAAAAAAATGCCAACCATCATCTGAGCCTTCAGGTCGTAATTTTTTTTGCTGGTGGAGGGTTTGAAATATCGCAAGAATTACCAAAATATGACACAGAGACACAAAGTGAGAAAATGCTATTGGAAAAAATGGCACCAATAGCCTTGCTAGATGCAGGGTTGCCATTAACATTCAATTTGTAAAAAATGCAATATCTGTGAAGTGCAGTAAAGCAAAGTGCAATAAAATAAGGTATGCCTGTATAATTATATTAAAGTCATATGAAGTACATAAATGGAAATTGAGTAGAGAGTGGTGGAGAAGTGATCTTGAAACCTTTCCAGATAAAAACCTCTCTTGATTTGTGGCCCTTGGAGCACAGGTAAGGTTTATAAACAAGAGTCCATATAATTACATTGAGGCTTTTGCCTAAAAGCTCTATTTTCCATGTTCCTTCTAACATTTTGGAATCCAAAGAAATATTCAGAGATGTTAACTGCAGTGAGGTGGAAAGGGTGCAGTCAACCACAATCTGTTCTCCCTGGGAAGATTACTAATTTGGGGATTGATTTACGTGGGAAAGGGAAGGAAGATCAGAGCTTAGAGGGAGTATACTTCTTTATCATATATGTAGGTATTTTAAATTGTCATTTAACATACCACATTTTCCCAAATAGGTGGATTTTGCAAACCGTTTTGTTGGAGGTGGTGTAACCAGTGCAGGACTTGTACAAGAAGAAATCCGCTTTTTAATCAACCCTGAGTTGATTGTTTCACGGCTCTTCACTGAGGTGCTGGATCACAATGAATGTCTTATCATCACAGGTTAGTTTTGAGAAGTCTGGACAATGGGGTAGTGTTCCCCATCTGTGATGATCTATCATGAAGACGAGAGGCCACTCAGATAGTAGCTTTCCTCTACCGTGATCATTAGTCCCAATATTTTAATTCATTAATTTATACTTGTTCTTATTAAATTGTTACAGTTTCATTTTCAGAATCTTGAGTAAGACATTTTATCTCCACTTTTTCTTTCTTGGCATCTTTATCTGAGGAACAAGGGTAAAAATGATTAAACTACTCTCCAGTTTGAAATTTTATGATATGGTGTCCTTAAAAAGAAGATAGTGATATGTCTTTGAGCATGTATCCTATTATTATTCTTCCATTATATTTCCAAAGTGATTTGTTGTACTTCAGTATGAACACACTATGTAAGTATAAAAAACAGTTACAGTGTTTGTAGAGAGTCAGTACAACAGTGAGCTTTAGAGAAGGGAAATAAATCAGTAGCCTTTATGTTTATTCTAATTTCTAATCCTAAGAGAAAAAGTGTGATTATCTTAGTGCCTCTCTTTGATTTAAGTTATTATGGGTGGAGGAGAGAAGGAAACATAGTCAAATTTATACTTTAGGCCTATTAATCAAGATTTACATTTTTTTCCCTTAAGTTTCTTTAGATTGCAATATCACTATGTCACAGTATTTTCTTGTGTATAAGCTACCAAAAAAAATTGATGATTAACTCATAACTCTTAATCAGCCTCTGTAGGGAAGTTAAGCCTTTTATTCAGGTACCTAAAAGAATATACCCCCCCGCAAAAAAAACATTCCCATATAAAAGCCATAATCAACCTCAACTGCTGATGTTTTTTTCTTTCCGCAAAGGAGGATTTCTTATTTCCTCTTTGAATCTATTGCCACTTTGAGATTAGTATAGGAGACTAACAGGCTAAGTGTAGGAGAATTTGGTTGATTGTTATTTTCAAAGATTACAGTGGGATGAAAACCATCCTCTGTTAGTTTTATCAAATGTATAACTCAACTAATTTATGTCCAAAGAGGTACATGACAGAATTAAGACTGAGACCACACATCTCAGATACCTTTGTAGGCAACCTTCAGAAGAGCATCTAAATGTTGTCCCTTATGTTTTGCTTTCAGGATTCCCTCTTTGTCTTTCAACTGTTTATGGTGTGTACAGGTGTGGATCTCTTTAACTTTATCCTGTTTGGGTTCATTGAATGTCTTGAATGTTTAGATACATTTGGTAGATTTTTGGCCATTATTTCTTCAAGTGTTCTTTCTGTCCCTTTCTCTTCTCTCCTTCTGAGACTCCTGTTATGCATGTGTTGGTACATTTGGTGATGTCCATTGGTCTCTGAAGCTCTGTTCATTTTTCTTCATTCTTTTTGTTTCTCAGACTGGATAATTTCTACTGACCTATTAGGTTCACTGATTCTTCTGTCTGCTCTAATCTGCTTTTTAATCCCCTCTGTGAAATTTTTATTCCAGTTATTATGCTTTTCAACTATAGAATTTCTATTTGATTCTTTTTAAAAATAATGTTTATCTCTATTGAGATTCTCTATTTGTGAGGCATTATTCTCATATTTTCATTTAGTTCTTTAGACATAATTTCCTTTAGTATTTTTTAATGGATGTAAAACAGCTGACTTAAAGGTTCTGTTTAGTAAGTCCAACGTCTGAGTTCCTCAGGGTGGGTCAGTTACTAATGAATACTTTTTTTCCCCGAGTATGGACCCTACTTTCTCGTTTCTTTGCATGTCTCAATTTTTTTGTTGAAAACTGGACATTTTAAATGGGGCAGCTCTTGAAATCAGATTTTCTTCTTTTCCCAGAGTATGTTTTTGTTGCTGTTTGTTTGGTGACTTTCCTAATCTAGTTCTGTGAAGACTGTATTCTTTTTCATGTGTAGCCACTAAAGTCTCTGCTTGGTTAGATTAGTAGTTACCTAATGATTGGACAGAGATTTTCTTAAATGCCTAGAGCCAGTAAGTCAGTCTTTGCCAAAGGGCTCTGTGTATATTTTGGGGCTTACCTTCAATACTCCACCAGGCAGTTGACACTTCCTTCCTGCTTACACAGAGCCTCAAGATCAGAGTGAGGGGAGAGGTTAGGACCTTCTCAGGTCTTTCTTGAGCCTGTGTACAGCTATGGGCATGTGTGTAGACGTCTAGATTCCCGAAGATACTTTTCAAAGTCCTGTAAGTACTTCTCATTCCTTAGCTTTTCCTCTGAAGCTTTTTGGTTAGCCTATTTACCCCAACTGTAATCTAATGCCTCAGGCAGCTACACTCTTAAAGAATTGACTATAATTGTTTTCAACAAACACCCCTGGGAATTAGGCTTTTCACCCTGGATAAAGTCCAAGTCTGATCAAATAAAGACAGCCTTGTGAGTGAGGTCTTCCAGGGAACTACCAGACAGGTCAGATGATTACAGTTCTCTGAGAATGGGGCTTTGAAGGAGCTTCAACCCTTCTCTGCCCCCTCTGGTGGCAACCAGGCTGCTTTGATTACAGGCTATTGGTTTCTTAGGCTACTAGGGAGCTTGGGAAAGTGGAATAGGAACAGGGCAAGTTAAAACACCATACAACTCACTGTGTTTACCAATATTCAGCCAATTTTTCTTTAATAAACACTCCTCAGACTGCTGCAAGCCTTTGGTTAATTCCCACAGTGCAGAAAAAGATGATTCTTACAAGTTTTGCCAGTGTTCTCATTATTTTTATGGAGGAAAGAGTTCTCTGAGATTTTTACTCCATTGTTTTTATTGATGTGTCCGTATCTTTTATAAGTGCTTGTGGATAAAAGGGCTTTCAAGGAGTTATTCCACGTCTTTTAGGTAACCCTATATTATTTCTTATAATATCCTTTTGATTCTGCTGTTTTGGTGAGATAAGGCAAAAAATAAAAATTGTTGTTTGAGTTTATGTAGGAAGTTTAGAATTTCAGCAAAGGAATTTCTTCTTTGATAGAACTGCAGCTATTTGAAGTTAATAACCTGAAGTATTTCATCCAGAATTCTGAGGTTGTGATCCAAACTGTACTGAAATAGAAAGATAAAACCCTTTTATTCTCAGCATTGTCTCAACTTACATATTGGTTGTCTATCTGCATTTGTTGTTTATTATGTATGCAGATAAGAAGGGTGTAGTTAGAAGTTGTTAGGGGAGAAAAGAGTGTAAGGAATTACAGAACAAAAAAATTAAACTGTCATAAATCCATTGTTGGGCAAATGAATACTTTGAATATTGATCTCAGACTGTTTTAGAGAGCACTAAAGTTCTGGAATGTGACCGTCTCCAGCATTTGGGTGTATCAAATAATACTTTAAAAGAGTTTTAATTTTTAGCAGTTAAGCTAGATTTGAATTGAAGACTGAGAACAAAATATCCCATCAATTTTTTTTTTTTTTTTCGGTATGCGGGCCTCTCACTGCTGTGGCCTCTCCCGTTGTGGAGCACAGGCTCTGGACGCCCGGCCTCAGCGGCCATGGCTCACGGGCCCAGCCACTCCACGGCATGTGGGATCTTCCTGGACCGGGGCACGAACCCGTGTCCCCTGCATCGGCAGGCGGACTCTCAACCACTGCGCACCAGGGAAGCCCTCCCATCAATTTTTTAGGATGAATTTACATTCTTGAAATAAAAAAGTTGGTAGAATGCAGGGCATTTTAACTCAAAGCTAATTTGTTTCATTTGCTTCACTTCTGTTGTACTAGGGAAGTAGTCCCTTGTCATCTCCCATTAATGTTTCTGTAAATAAAGGATGTAATTTCCTTGGGAATAGTAAAAGGAAAACATTAGACCTCTTTTCTTTTTTAAGGATAGTTTGTCCCCAATCTAAAAAAGCATCATCACTCTGGAGTTATATCTGGTCTCTAACTTACCTGCAGCCATTGTAAAATAGATGGAAAATTGCAGATCCATGACTCACCTTCACACCTGTAATTACCTCAGGCTAAGGACACCCGGGGTGACTTTTAACTCAGCATTTTTTCCCCATATCCATTTAACTCTAGTGCCTCCTAATTAATATCTGTGATGTGATGTTCCCTTAATGGAAATGGCCATTTCATCATCTATTTGATGTTGGATTTCTGCCATCTCCCTTCTTAGGAGACTCTTAACTATGTACTGCAGTCTATCTGCCTGATCAATTCCATTCCTTCAATGATTCAACCAGGCTCAGTGAGCTAATGGCTGTGACTGTGCTGCCTGCATCTGTAGAAGAGTTTGAGAAATTGGAAATAAATTAAATTTATCATCATTTTGGGGCATCTGGTTGGTATCAGACTTTTAAATGAATATGAAACAGGTCATGCAAACAGGCAAATACTTTTATCCAAACAGTGTTATCCCTCTACTTGCTGTGATCCTCCCTGGAGCAGTCATGAGTTAAAACCTTTCAGTAAGTACAGACTGAGGAAAAGAATTAAAACTCCAATCTTCCCCTTTTCTCTCCTCTCGTGTGTTCCTTCACAACATCCAGTAAAAGCTTCAATACTAAAAGGTGTTACTGTGGTGCTGGGAGATTATTTTGTTGTTTCTGTGTGGTGAGAACATAAAGCAGATGCCTAGACATGAAACTTACTGAGCAGAATGTTGACACATTTAATATAAAACCTGCCCTCTAGTGAATCAAATCGTCCCAAACACCACATGTCCTTAAATCTTTTGTGTCAGCAGAACTGATAGAAAAGACAAAAGCAGACACCATTGCTTATAGTACCGGTATCTTTCATAGAGTTAACAACACTAGAGGTGCCCATCACTACAAAAACAGCCCAGTGCTTACTAAATGACACCAGCTCATTGGGAAAGATCCAAATAAAGTTGGAGTTTGGCTTTTCTTAATGTTTATTAATCATGGGAATGAAAGGCCAGAGTGTTTTTTTCTGCTGCATAATCACTACTGTTTTAATGATACTAATAAAAGTGGAGTACATGGTTTTTTGGGGGGTTTTTACATCTTTATTGGAGTATAATTGTTTTACAATGGTGTGTTAGTTTCTGCTTT